CGAATCCGTGTCCACTGTGTCTGCTGCACCCAAAGCGAAAAAAGTGCAGTAGCTTACGGTAAGTTATCAAAAATTCCGGCCGGCATAGCGGTAAGTGAAAAATTAAAGTTCCGTTGACTCGGGCGGCAGACAGCCTAATACTATACTCTTAAAAGCGAGCCTATAAAGGGAAAATAATATTTCTGAATAGAGGTCCTTATAAGAAGAGGCAATTTCGCTCTAAACCAAACAGCATGTTTGTTTACATTTTTAGTAACCGAATCAGAATGCCTAAATTCGACTACTTCGGTTAAAAGGGTACAGTATTTACCATTTTACCACAAGTTTTAAAAACTTTGACTACTCTGATTGTCTTGCCTAAAAAATGCAAAAAATATATCGATAGTATAAAAAACGAAATCCACCAGCTGGCAAACAATTTCTCCGTGTTATGAAAATCTTTCGAGATAACAAGACTGGTAGACGGCAGGATTTGAACCTGCGCGGGAATATCCCAACAGATTTCGAGCCTGTCGCCTTAACCACTCAGCCACGACTACATAATTGCCAGTTGAAAGGCAATGAAAAAAAAAATAAAACACAAGCAAGTATTATAGGAATTGATTTCTGAAAGAGCGAATCATAAACATTGCAGTTCACTATTGTTACCAGAAGTCAATCACAAAAGTCGTTCATATCATTGAGTTTAAGTGGAAAATGTGAAGAGCCTCGTCAGAGATTCGAACTCCGCACCCCTGGTTTACTAGACCTTGATTTAGACCTTTATACTTGATTTATCCACCGTTTAAGCCAAACGGGCTTGATACAACCGGCCCTAGCCTTGAGCTAATGAAGCACGTGTAAAAAGCAATCGTGGACAGTTTTGATATGACTATATTGATGCGAAATCGTAGCTCACTATATTTTTATAAGGTTGATACTTAAATTAAGTTGAGAGAGTGCATCTAACGTTGGAACGGGAACACGTACCACTTTTTTTTCAAAAGAAAATACAGCATAATCATTACCTAGACCATTTGCAAATTGTTATTAAGACCGTTCTCTTTCAAACTAGACGGGCAAACAGGCCTTGGTTATGGGCCCAGCACGCTTCCACTGCCCCACCCAGCTTGCTACACACTGCTTCTATGCCATGAATATATACACAGATCTGTAATTTCTTTTTACTTGTGCTGTTCCGAATAAGTTAAGAAAAGCGAGAAATGTTCTTACAGGTATCTAAGAAAATATTTGCGCATGCAGGTTTGCACGATCGGGGAGTATAGTTTTTGAGTTCAGGCTTTTCTCTCACACTTCATTTAAGAAAAATGAACTTTCTCAACAAAAAATGACACCTACAATGTGCGCTGAAAAGATCTTTTCTATTGAAATGGCAACTTTAGCAGGAAATGGTTTCAATCCATTGACCTCTGGGTTATGGGCCCAGCACGCTTCCACTGCGCCACCCTGCTTGCTACACACTGCTTCTATGCTTAATATAAAACTTGTGCTATTTCGAATAAGGTAAGAACAACAAAAAATGTTCTTTTAGGAGAATAGCATCAAACATGTATGCACGATCAGGGAGTGTAGCTCAGTGGTAGAGCATTCGACTGCAGATCGAGAGGTCAGTGGTTCAACTCAGCTGGCTCCTTTCTCTTTCATGAATGAAAAAACCCCTAACATTTTTATCGTACTAATTAGTGAATTGAAAAACCCAAATTTATTTTCGTTGCAACAATCCGTTTGCTTGATAAATAATCCTTCCAGTTTAGTGTTTTTTCAATGACTCTCTGAGACACATCCATGTTCTATAAATTTGTAAAACGGGAGTCCATACCTGGAATACAGGGAATATAATTATCTTAAAATGGGCGTGCATAGATATACTGTAGAGCCAGGAATTTTTCAGTAATTTTTCTAGGTGTTTATGTCCTGTGGTGTAATGGTTTATTACTTCGGGCTCTGAGTAGGATAAATTAAAGTATAAAGACAAAACAAAAGTATAGAAAAGCCTCATCAGAGAGTTGAACTCTGGACTCCTGGTTTACAAGACCAGTGCTCTAACAACTGATCTAATGAGGCGTATGTGCAAGCTTAACACGAATATAATTATATGAATACTTTATCTTAATAATGTGCATGCGCGTAGCAAACTACATAATTATATACTATGTAGCCAACATTCGTCAGAAAGTTTGACTGATTTTTAGGGTCTGTGGTGTAATGGTTATCACTTCGGACTCTGACTTCGAGAATCGGAGTTCAATTCTTGGTAGAAACTCTTTGAAAACATTCATTCTCCGTCTTTATGTATTTTTTTATTTCAGCCTTTCTCTTACAGCTATCTAAGAATATACCATATGACAGGTATGCTGCATGGACGCTCAGAGAGAGTAGCATATAGTAGTCGAGCATCCGACTGCAGGTTGACAGGTCACTGGGGTCAGTGGTTCAACTCCGCTCGCTCCTTCCTGTTCTATAAATTAAAGAAAAATTAAATATTTTTATGGTACCCATTAGTGCATGAAAAATCCCAATTTATTTTCGTGGGAAAAAGCCGTACGTTTGATAAACAATCCATGGAGTTTAGGTTTTTTGAATGACTCTCTGGGACACATGCATGTTCTATATTATATTTGTACCCCAGGGCTCCATACCTGGAATAGAGGGAATATATGTAAATACTTCATCTTAATAATGTGCGTGTATATAGACTATACATCACAGCGCGGGTCAGATGTATATGATGAGTCGTCAAAAGATTGCAGAATACGTATTCGGAAGAAAAATTGAACTTTTTCATGCTATTCAAAAGGTTTCTCTTTGATAGCGGTACAGAAATACACAATTGTGAACCAGCGATTAGATATCCGGGTTGAAATGTCTCAAACACCAATTTCGGCTGTGCCTTTTAGTAGATCTCGGTAGGACCTTGCTGGAACTATTAATTTTATGTTTTATGTAACTTTTTTAGTTCTGGCTTTTCTCTTATAGCCCATATCAGAAAAAATATATGTTTTTGAATAAGATTTCGAAAAGATCTTTTTTATTGAAATGATAACTTTAGCAGGAAATGGTTTCGATCCATTGACCTCTGGGTTGGGCCCAGCAGGCTTCCACTGCGCCACCCTGCTTGCTACACACTGCTTCTATGCTATGAATAAAACTTGTGCTATTTCGAATAAGGAAAGAACAGCAAGAAATGTTCTTTTAGGAGAATAGCATCAAACAGGTATTCCCGATCAGGGAGTGTAGCTCAGTGGTAGAGCATTCGACTGCAGATCGAGAGGTCAGAGCTTCAACTCCGCTCGGTCCCTTCTCTTTTATCAACATTTTTATCGTACTAATTAGTGAATTAAAAAACCCAATTTATTTTCGTTGCAACAATCCGTTTGCTTGATAAATAATCCTTGCAGTTTAGTGTTTTTTCAATGACTCTCTGGGACACATGCATGTTGAAAGTGGGAGTCCATACCTGGAATACAGGGAATATAATTACTTTATCTAATATTAGCGTGTATAGATATACTGTAGAGCCAGGAATTTCTCAGTAATTTTTCTAGGTGTTTATGTCCTGTGGTGTAATGGTTAGCATTTCGGACTCTGAATACGATTAATTACATAGTTGCCATAGTTAATAGCTATAGTTGCATATAATTTACAAAAGTATGACAACAAGAGCCTCATTAGAGAGTTGAACTCTGGACCCCTGGGGCCGGTTGTTCGAAAGGTGGATAAGTCGCTATCCAACGGATAAGTCCCTATCCAACGAATAAGTTTTATCCAGCGTGTGATTTGCGTTGCACGAAGCTTGGATAACTTTATCCAGCGGATAAAAATCGCTATCTACCGGATAAATTTATCCAAGGTCCGGAGGTGGTTTAAATCCACTATCCAGTGAATAATTCAAAGATACAAGGTAACACTGTAAACATTTATATAAAATAGGACAAAAATGCCATATTCCTGTTACTGTGTTTCAACAAACTAATACACATCATGATTGTATTCACTATTAAAAATATTTTCGAAGTGCAATTTGTCGCAGCAGCGTTTCACGTTGCCTACACATTCCGTTCCGAGCGGCGATTTTTTGGAGATCCTCGCATTTATAACAGGCGGTAAATTTACTATACGCTTCTAATCAGTTTATAAACGCGAATATGCAAAGAAAGATTCAACCTATTCCAAGGAAACTTGCTAATATCTACGTAATTTCATTCACGAACATTAAAATAGTGTTCCTAAATTTGCTATGGAACCGAAAGGCAAAGCGTTGCAAGGTCAAGGAATAAAATTGCAATGTGTTTGATTAATAAAATCACTATGATGTGAAGTGCAAAGTTCGAGCAAATCACTTGTTCAAGTCTTTTCCATTCAGTAACTATACTCGAGAATTCGTAATGATTATGAATTCAATGTTGTAAATGCTTAGCAACAGCTGACGTTGTGGTACGAAATTTCAGGATAATCCTGTTTTCTTCCGGTAAATTTTACCTTATCTATTGGATAGCTATCCACTTCACTATCCACGCTTCGTGCAACGCGTTTTTATCCAGTGGATATAACTATCCACTGGATAGCAGATTTATCCGTTGGATAGGACTTATCCGTTGGATAAGTTATCCATCTTTCGAACAACCGGCCCCTGGTTTACAAGAGCAGTGCTCTAACCACTGAGCTAATGAAGCGCACGTACAAGCTAACGCGAATATTGTTGCTTAATCTTATAATGTGCACGCATCAAATTATGCTTCACAGGTGTAGAGTTTGTCTTTTGCACAAGATAAATATACTTTATTCACGTAACTCGTAATACTTATTTCTACTACAACCAAGCGTGTGTTCTTCTACGTTTTTTGTACGTCCTCTGAGCCCGCGCTCTTGTCCTATATCTAACATCATATACGTTGTGCTATAACATGCAACAACACTACATCTCTCCCTTTTATCGAACTGTAACCATAACACAACAAAACAAATTATTATTAATGTTAAAGTTGTTTCAGATGTTAGCTTTAATACATCACATAGTCACCAAGATAGTTCGGACGCCGCCTTTCTCTTGCTGGTCGTTGGTTTTGACCTCGCTGTTCCTGACCTGCGTTTTGAAGTTCTACATTGTTCTCGTTGCTCCCATCGTCATCATCATCATCATCCTCTCCACTGTCGTTAGGAATGTTTGCCCACTGCTCTGCTGCCCGTTTTGTAACTTTCTTAAGATGAGAGGAATTTCTGCTTAGTGTTGATCCATCTGTTTTCTGTACGGTCACTAATGTTCCTTTCTTCCTGGTGACAAGTGCAGGTTTAGGATTATAGCGTGAGGACAACTTATTCTTTCGCTTCTGTTTTATCAATACCATATCACCTACACAAACGCGGCTAGGTTTGTGGTGATTCCGACGGTCGGAATAGGTTTTCATCTTCTTCTTCCCTTGTCGGTCTTTGGAACGCATTTCTGCATCATCGAGAGGTGGCACGAGCACTGCAGGCAGTTTAGTTTTGATTTTCCTACCAAACAAAAGCTCCGCCGGCGACTTCCCGGTAGTCGAGTGCGGCGTAGCTCGGTACTGCAGGAGAAACTGTTGTAGATCTTTCTTCCAATTCTTTCCTTCGATTGAGCTTGTTTTGATGGCTTTGCTTAGTGTACGCATAAAACGTTCAGCTTCGCCGTTAGCAGCTGGCCATAGTGGTGTAATTCTACGGTGTTGAAAACCTTTCTCTTTAGCATACTTGGCGAATTCGTGACCACTAAATGGGGGGCCGTTATCAGACTTCATAACATCCGGAATCCCATGCGTAGCAAAGATTCTATCTAACTTCGGAATAGTCGCTTCAGCGGAGGTAGATCGAAGAACTTCCACCTCCGGATACCGAGAGTAATCGTCAATGACAACTAGCAAGTAGTCACCGGATGGGAAAGGGCCACAAAAATCGGTTGAAACTTGGCTCCACGGCGCCGTTGGTAAGGTCGTCATTTGGAGGGGTTCTGGTGTCACATTTTGGCTTGTTGCTTGACATGGGATGCAATCATCGATCTCTGTCTTGACGTCCTTGTCAATGCCAGGGTACCATACCTTTTCTCGAAGGAGCTGCTTTGTTTTTACAATGCCTTGGTGGGACTCGTGCGCAAGTTTGACTGCTCGCAATTGAAGACATTTTGGGAGGACTACGCGTGTTCCCCGAAGGATGATGTCGGAATCCGTTGCAACAGTGAGCTCGAACTTGACTTTGTTGAATGGGGTAAGGTCAGGATCATTGTTTGGCCAAACGTCCGTGGTAATTGCCTGACGAAGGCGTTGGAAAATAGGGTCAGCTTTTGATGCACTGTTAACTTCTTCTAGAGTCATAGCTTTGGGTATAGCATGGCCGACCAGATAATTCACATACTCTTCAGCAATCTTCCGCTCTCTCGTTGTCTGGGAACGCGAAGGATGGCGTGATAGATAATCAGCAATGTTCAGCGGTCCGGGCCTGTATTTCACGGTGAAGGTGTACGGTTGAAGTCTCAAAGCCCAGCGTTGGATGCGGGCTGGAGGGTTAGAGGCGGGATTGTTAAAAATGGTTTCAAGTGGCTTGTGGTCTGTGACGATTTCAAACTGAGAACCATAGAGGTATAAATGAAACCGCTCACAACCCCAAACGATGGCTAGTGCTTCACGTTCGGTCTGCGAGTATCGTCGTTCTACATCGCTAAGCGTACGACTTGCATATGCAACAGAGCGTTCCTGTCCGTCTGCGTCAACTTGCGTTAGCACGGCACCCAGTCCGAAGGGGCTTGCATCAAACGTGGCAATCGTGCGCTTGCTAGGATCAAAATAAGCCATCGTGCGGTTGCTGGTCAAACACTCTTTTAAAGCGAGAAAAGACTTGTTCTGCTGAACCCCCCAGTTCCAACGCACTCCTTTTCTGGTCAAGTGTTTCAACGGCTCCGTCAATGTGGCGTAATTCGGAATAAAACGGGAACAAAATCCGGTTAACCCAAGGAAACTTCGGACTTCTGACGGATTCGTGGGAGGGGTGGCATCACAGATAGCAGCAATCTTCTTGGGATCCGCAGACATGCCTTTTGCAGAAAACACATACCCAAAGAAAGCCAGATTCTGCTTGTTGTAAACACACTTGGACCCGTTGAGGGTTAGACCTTTTTCCCGCAGACGTTGAAAGGTATCGGCTAGAGCAGCATCGTGTTCTTCTTGCGTACGCCCAAACACAATAATGTCGTCTGAAATGTTTTTCACGCCTGGGATTCCCTGTAGTGCCTGTTGAATAACTTGTTGGAAAACTTCCGAGGCTGAGGCCAAACCAAAAAGGAGACGGGTATATTGGCGGAGGCCCTTATGCGTGGTAAATGTGGTGAGGTACCGGGAGGCAGGTGTAAGCTCAATTTGATGGTATCCAGAACGAAGGTCGAGTTTGGAAAAAACACTTGCCCCATTCAAATCGTTTGTGACTTCCTCGATGGTAGGTGTGGGATGGCGCTGGCGTTGGACAGCTTTGTTTGGTTGACGGAGGTCAACACAAAGACGGATTTCCTTGGGGTTGCTGGTTTTTGGGACTGCCACTACAGGTGAAACCCATGGTGTGGGGCCGTCAACCGCCTCAATGATGCCTTGCTGTTTCCAAGCTCTCGATTTCTTGCTCTACTTGCTTTCGGATATGAAAAGGTACGACGTGGCAGCTGGGCAACAGGCTTTACATCTGGGTCTATATATATTTGGAATTGGAAATCTTTGAGCTTGCCGATTCCATGGAAGATATCCTGGTATTCTTCCAATAACTGCGGTAGGGATTTTTGAGCACTGACTGTGTTGATGGAATGTGGGACTGAAATTAATCCCAAGGCGACTGAAGTGTCATGGCTAAGGATGGAGCCATGGAAGCCATCAACTACGTAAAATGAACCATTGGTTTTGCTTGATAAGGTTTCAATAGTGGCTTGAAACTTTCCGAGTAGGGCAAGAGGTTCTGCTGCACCATAGGCATAAATTCGTGTCGACGTCTTTTGCAACTGAATATGATCATTCTGCGTAACTATTTGCTCATATGCTGCCTTGTCGAGGATGTTCACTGATGCTCCCGAATCGATCATCATCACAATTTCAACACCATTGATGACAACGGGAAGCTGAGGCCTGGAGATCACATTAGCATGTTCCCCGTCAGTATTGGTTGCATATATCCCTCCTCATCATCAGATACGATGTCTTCAGAGATTTGGTTCAGTTGTTCACGTCTTGGACGCTGCTGGCCTTGGCGTTGGGTGTTGCGATTTTGGGGCCGACTGCGGCAGACTCGAGCAAAATGATTTTGCTTTCCACAGGAACGGCAGGATTTACCAAATGCTGGGCACGGCTTGGAGGGAACATGGGGCCATGTTCACCACAATTCTACAATATCCTCTAGGCTGTTGTCGGTGGTCATTACTTGTAGCGGGCGATTTGCAGGTGTTGCTTGAATGGCACTGATCTCAGGAGTTGTAGGGCTGTTGGTACCAATACGAGCTGCTTGTTGTTTTGAGCATTCCAAAATACGACCTTGCTTTAAGATGAAGGTCAAATCCGCTTTTTCTTCACGAAGAATCTTTTCTTCAGTCTATTAGAGCTACAATTAGCCAGAATTTGATCGGCAATAACATCATCTATTCTCAAACTCACACGTTTCAGCCAGGTTACGAAGTCGAGAAGCGAATTGATCAATAGACTCACCGTCTTGTTGACATGCTTGTTTAAAATGGTATCGTTCATATCGAATATGTTTCTTCGGAGCAAATATTCGTTGAGTTTTGCGGCAGCTGTATCGTAGTCGTCTCCCGTATCCGTCAATCCTTTAAACACTTTCTGAACAGTTGGCCCGCTGATATGCAAAAGAAGCGCTCGCTTTTGTTTCTTGTCTTCAACTTTAGCTGCAATTGTAAAAATCTCGAATTGTTCGAGCCATTCTTTCCACCGTGTTGCGATTGACGATGGCTCGGAATAAGCATCGAATTGTGGCAAGTTCGGCATTAAATTTAATTGAGCCATTATAATCCTCGTCGCCAATTGTAGAGTTTGTCTTTTGCACAAGATAAATATACTTTATTCACGTAACTCGTAATACTTATTTCTACTACAACCAAACGTGTGTTCTTCTACGTTTTTTGTACGTCCTCTGAGCCCGCGCTCTTGTCCTATATCTAACATCATATACGTTGTGCTATAACATGCAACAACACTACAACAGGGTGTATAAAAAAAAGGTAATCCAACTTTGGCGCGCTATTGTACGTGAACTACTCATTCCAGCAAATGAATTTTTTTTCACATTCGGAAAGGTTAGGCTTTTAGTTAACTATCGAATGACATGTTTTTAATACCAAATGATGAAAAAATGAGCAAATAGGAGGCTGATAAAAAGTGTTAGTCAAAATCGCATATTCTCACCTCTGAGAGTTGGGACTAAAACCATTGAAAATTAACTCCCTTTAGGACTTAATTGAAGAATTTTGCTTCCGAATAAACTACCCGCCAATGCATGGTAAGTAGGAATAAATCACATGAGGAGAACATTCCAAGCAATTAATGTGCCGGCGATGTTAACTTTTTATCGATAGAGATGGTGTTCAAGTTGAAGGCATGACGCATAATCTCTTTTTAAAAGTGTGAATGTAAATAATCGCAATAAACATGCATGTTGTAAAACCAGTGCAAGCTGTAACATGTTCGTGATTAATTGTTTTTGTTCTTTTGTTATGCACTGCTTTGATTAGGCTCAAAGGTGAAAATATGCGATTGTGACTAAAGTTTTTTATCAGCCTCGTATGTTTTCATTTTTCACCATTTGGTATTAAAAGCATATCTTTCGATAGATTGAAGCCAGAGGAGGTTGGACAAACGATTATAAAGTTGTCACGTGAGCTCTCGACTAATGAGATCACCCTATTTTCGCCCTATTTTCCGGTGGGCGACAAAAAATACCCTTAGGCATATTGTGTTGTTTTCCTCCACGGCAACCTTTAGTAAAAGGCGAAAGATTTTTTCGCAGGAGAACCAAGGCTTGGAAACTTCGGTGCTTGTCAGTGCTGTATAAACGAAATAGTTACGCTTTTGGAACACGGTAGTCAGGAAAGTGCGCGGGCAATGTTATCAATTGTGACGAATATTATTGTTTTTATAATTAGCAGTTGCTCAATCAATTGTGGGGTGTCGTTTGATATTTTGGCGTGATCAATAGCCTTCTGCCAGGAAAGGAGTATTGGGAATCCGGATCACGCCTGCTGGCTCGTAAACTTTTGATAAACACCCGCTTGGAAAATCCGGCGGGCGATGAAAAAAATACCCTTAAGCCCATTGTGTTGTTCTCCTCCAGGGAAATCTTTAGTAAAAGGCGAAAGATTTTTTCGTATAAATGAAGGAGAACCAAGGCTTGCAAACTTCGGTGCTTGTCAGTGCTGTATAAACGAAATAGTATCGCTTTTGGAACACGGAAGTCACGGAAGTGCGCGCGCAATGTTATAAATTGTGACGAATATAATTGTTTTTATAATTAGCAGTTGCTCAATCAATTGTGGGGTGTCGTTTGATATTTTGGCGTGATCAATAGCCTTCTGCCAGGAAAAGGAATATTGGGAATCCGGATCACGGCTGCTGTTGATCTCGTACACTTTTGATAAACACCTGCCAGGAAAATCAAGCGGGCGACAAAAAATACCCTTAGGCCCAGTGTGATTTTCTCCACCACGGAAATCTTTAGTAAAAGGCGAAAGATTTTTTCGTGTAAATGAAGGAGAACCAAGGCTTGGAAACTTCGGTGCTTGTCAGTGCTGTATAAACGAAATGGTTTCACTTTTGGAAAACGGTAGTCGCGTAAGTGCGCGCGCAATGTTATCAATTGTGACGAATATAATTGTTTTTATAATTAGCAGTTGCTCAATCAATTGTGGGGCGTCGTTTGATATTTTGGCGTGATCAATAGCCTTCTGCCAGGAAAAGCAGCATTGGGAATTCCGTTACGCCAGCTGTTGATCTCATAAACTTTTGATAAACACGTGCCAGGAAAATCAAGCGGGCGACAAAAAATACCCTTAAGCCCATTGTGTTGTTCTCCTCTACGGAAATCTTTAGTAAAAGGCGAAAGATTTTTTCGTGTAAATGAAGGAGAACCAAGGCTTGCAAACTTCGGTGCTTGTCAGTGCTGTATAAACGAAATAGTTTCGCTTTTGGAAAACGGTAGTCACGGAATTGCACACGCATTGTTATCAATTGTGAAGAATATAATTGTTTTTCTAATTAGCAGTTGCTCAATCAATTGTGGGGTGTCGTTTGATATTTTGGCGTGATCAATACCCTTCTGCCAGGAAAAGGAGCATTGGGAATACGGATCACGGCTGCTGTTGATCTCGTACACTTTTGATAAGCACCCGATAGGAAAATCCGGCGGGCGACAAAAAAAACTCTTAGGCCCATTATGGTTTTGTCCACCACGGAAATCTTTAGTAAAAGGCGAAAATTTTTTCGTGTAAATGAAGGAGAACCAAGGCTTGCAAACTTCGGTGCTTGTCAGTGCTGTATAAACGAAATAGTTTCACTTTTGGAACACGGCAGTCACGTAAGTGCGCGCGCAATGTTATCAATTGTGACGAAAATAATTGTTTTTATAATTAGCAGTTGCTCAATAATTGTGGGGTGTCGTTTGATATTTTGGCGTGATCAATAGCCTTCTGCCAGGAAAAGCAGCATTGGGAATTCCGATTACGCCAGCTGTTGATCTCGTAAACTTTTAAAAAACACCTGCCAGGAAAATCAAGCGGGCGACAAAAAAATACCCTTAAGCCCATTGTGTTGTTCTCCTCCACAAATATCTTTAGTAAAAGGCGAAAGATTTTTTCGTGTAAATGAAGGAGAACCAAAGCTTGGAAACTTCGGTGCTTGTCAGTGCTGTATAAACGAAATAGTTTCACTTTTGGAACACGGTAGTCACGTAAGTGCGCGCGCAATGTTATCAATTGTTACGAATATAATTGTTTTTATAATTTGCAGTTGCTAAATCAATTGTGGGGTGTCGTTTGATATTTTGGCGTGATCAATAGCCTTCTGCCAGAAAAAGCAGCATTGGGAATTCCGATTACGCCAGATTTTGATCTCGTACACTTTTGATGAACACCCGCCTGGAAATTAAATCCGGCGGGCGACAAAATATACCCTTAGGCCCATTGTGTTGTTCTCCTCCACGGAAATCTTTAGTAAAAGGCGAAAGTTTTTTCGTGTAAATGAAGGAGAACCAACTCTTGGAAACTTGGGTTTTTGTCAGTGCTGTATAAAAGAAATAGTTTCGCTTTTGGGACACGGTAATCACGGAAGTGCGCGCGCAATGTTATCAATTTATTTATTTTTTTTTTTTATTTATTTAAACTTATTTAACCACGGTTGCCTTTCAGAGGTCTGTTTTTCAAAGGGCCGTGCACACTATAACTAATATAAAAATTTAAAAGCTATTTACTACAAAATACTTATATATACACACTATAATTTACATATTGCCTCCCTGCTCAAACACACAAGGCATCGATCAGTTTTTTAAAAGAGCCGACAGACGTTTCAGGTATTTTTGTTATCGGAAATTTCTCCGTTAATTTTTGATTCCAGGAGACAGCTCCTCTATAAGAGAAGCTTCGTTTCATAAAATTTGTCTTGGGTTTCAATAAGTAAAGCTTTTGATGATTGTTTCGTAATTGGTGTTTTTGGTTAACAGAGACATGAAACATTCGCGTTAAATATTCTGGAGCCAAACCCTTAAGTGCTTTGAATGTCATAACTAATTCTCGCTTTTCTAGAATTGATTGTATTTTTGTCCATTTGAGCGTTTGAAAGATTCCAGAGGACCGTTCTTCTAAACTCGAACTGGTAATGACCCGTGCGCACGTTTTTGTAGTTTAAACATTTTGTCAGCGTGCAGCTTATTGCCATCATACCATATAGTTGAGCAATAATTGAAATAAGGAAGTACAAATGACTTGAACATCGTCTGTAGTGTTGCTTGAGGTACGTAGGGCTTTACCTTCCGTAACATTGCTATGGAGCAAGAGATCTTTTTTGATTGTTCCTCGACATGTTTTGTCCATTGTAGTTTATCATCTATTTCTAAACCTAGTACCCTTTTCTTGTAGACTCGTTTGATTGAATAATCCTTTATTTTAATAATAGGGTCATCTTTAATTTGTTTTAGTCGCTTTGCTGAACCAATTATCATGTACTCTGTTTTGGTATCATTTAATGTTAGTTTATTTGCATCCAACCAAGTCTTAACATTTTGGATTTCCAGCCCTAATTTATATTCAATTTCGAGACAGGTTTCCCCATTTGCAGTCAAGCTCGTGTCATCAGCAAACATGGCAGGTTCAGTTATTTCTAAGCAATTTGGCAAATCATTTATATAGATTGTAAATAGGAGTGGACCAAGGTTAGATCCTTGTGGGATACCGCATGGTAGATTTTGAAAGGTTGAAAACGAGTTGTTTATTTTGCATATCTGTGTCCTATTGTTAAGATATGATTGAAACCATGCCAATGTTAATCCACGTATCCCATAACATTCCAGTTTTGACAGTAGAATCTTATGGTTTACCGTGTCGAAAGCCTTTTCGAGGTCCAGGAATAGGACACCATTAAGAAGGCCAGCATCCATATTTGCTAGCCAGTTATTAGTTAGGTGCAGTAACAATGTTTCAGTTGAATGCTTTGCTCGAAAGCCAGACTGAAATTTAGATATTATTTGGTGTTGTTCCAGAAACCTCATCAATTGTTCATGTACAACTTTCTCGAATATTTTGGGAATTACAGAAATAACTGAAATCGGCCGATAATTTCCGCACAGATTTTTTTCTTCAGATTTATGAATAGGTGTTACTTTAGCAATTTTCCAGTCATCTGGAAAGATTCCAGACAGTAAAGATTGATTAAATATATGCGACAGGGGTTGAATAATTGCACTCCCAGCGGCCTGCAGTAATTTCACAGAAATTTTGTCATAGCCTGATGATTTACCAATTTTCATTTGTTTAATTTCATCTCTGATTTTATCATGGGATATAGTTTGAAATTCAAAGTTTTGTAGTGTAGGTGTTACGAAGGAAAGTGGATCGACATTATTTGTTTCTATATTTTCAGCCAAACGTGCCTATATGCGAGAAGAAACTATTGAATTCATTAGAAAATATTTTCATCTCCCATTATTTTCTCTTCGCCGACTAGTAATTCATTAATTACAGTAGTTTTTGATGCCTTGTTCAACAACTCGCTTATCAACTTCCAATTCTCTTTATGGTCTTTGCATGCATCCAGTTTAGTTTTATAATAATTGCTTTTTGTTTCTTTAATTGTTTTATTTAAATAGTTCCTACATTGTTTATACTCATTAAAATAGTAAGTTGAGTTATGCATGACCGCTTTCCTTTTGAGAAAATCCCTGCGGTGACTAAGATTCTTAATCTCCGCTGTTATCCAGGGATTATACGTGCTTCTGACTTGTCTTTGTCTTAGAGGTGCATGTTTATTAGCTAGAGAGGTAAATATAGTTTTCAAAACGTGCCAAGTCTCATTTGGGTCCTCATAATTGTAAAGGTCACTACCAGCAAGAGCTCGGTCTAAATCACTAGTTTCAATAATTTTTGGCTTTTCCCTTTGGTTGCCGATTTTACGGCAAGTGTACACTAGACTATGGTCACTAATTGCAAGGTGTATGACTCCTGAAGTAGTAACATTCGTGTTTCCCACTTGCGTTATGATAACATCTATCAGTGTTCATGTATTGGCTGTTACGCGTGTAGGTTCCTTAATGAGCTGTTTTAACTGATAAACATCTAATAATTCAATTAGTTTCTTTGCATTAGAAGTATTCGCATGCAAATCACAATTGAAATCACCTAGAATAATCAATTCTTTGTTTTCTGCCTCAGCCTTTTGTAGAAATTCTTCGAACAGATCGAATGCCCCTGTATTGGAGTCGGGAGGTCTATACCAAGTCAAAATTAAAATTGGCTGAC